ACATTTGCCAGTTGTTCCTGGAAAGAGATTACTGCATGTGTTAGATATGGTATGTTACCAGAATCTTTACTCAATTGTTTATTTCAAGCTTCAGTGGATTCACAGGAAGTTTCTCTGCGAACTATTCAGACAACTGAAAGGCGGGCGTATATGCTTTCACGTTTTCGTGCAAATATGCATTCATTTTGTGAAAACCGAGCTGGAATCAGCAATGTTCGTCACACCGATCCGCCAGTGATGGTTTCAGGTCAGTATTACTCTCTTCACCAGAATGACAGTCATTCAGGGGAATATTCATGAAGGGGTTGAATGCTCAGTAATGATTTCGAGATGAAGAAGCATTTGATTGCCCATAGTCTTTTTCCATTGGAGTTACTCAGTTCAATAAAGAAGCGAACGATTTCACTTGTAAAAAAGTATTTGCCGTGTTCATAACATTTGAAATGCTGAAAAATCTCTAAAATTTATTGGGATATGAGTAAAGGACTTTACTTCTCTAGGAATCCAAAGAACTTGAGATTATAGGAATGTATTGCGTACGTATGTGGTTGGCCAGTTTCTCCCTCGAACTGATCTGAGCAAATCTGTTGTGCCAAGTGTTTTGAAAATTCAGCAAGTAGACGCTTTCATGAGAATTTTCCGTTTAGGTTTAATTAAGAGTTTTCTTCTTCAGGAATTCTCATCCTCAGTGACACCTTGCTGCAAGTAGTGGCTCCGGAGAAGCTGACCAATGTGGTTTTGGAATGTTTCGAGCCTACTCAAGGGGTTGAGTAAGTTTTCTCTAAAAATACACTTTTCAGCCCAAGAAAGAGGTTATTTAGAAAAGAAGGAAGTCAACCTCACGTTTTAAAAGACTTCCACTTCCCAAACTGTCAGATAATTTATTGATTCTGCGCCTCATATTTACCGATATGTTCTTTTATTTCCAGAGATATGATTACAATTCTTGATCGTTGCTCATATGAAGAGCTGAATATTCGACACTGCGTTCTGGCTTGGGGTCACGATCTGATCACCTATTTAAAGCATAGCGCGATCGATGCTACTGGTAAAGCGATTGCGTAAGTAATTTCTTATTCTCTACTTGAATGATTTTCACTTGTGTTATTATTATTACAAATTTGTTCACCCGAGTACCTGCCGGCATGCTTTAGGGCTCTTATTCACCTACGAGTAACGTTCGAACAAAAACGAGCAGCACATGAACAGGAAGGATATCGTCGAAGGAAATTGCCTGAGTTTTGGATATTGACGATTCCTGAGGTATGTTTTCCAACAGATAAGTTGTCAACATGGTACTTTCTACTCATCAAGCTCTATTAAAATAGACTCTGCTGTAGTTGTCCCATCAAGAACTGTAATATAAAGAATAAATGAGTTGAATTCTAGATGTAACGGAATAATTCTGTGGTAGTAGAAGAGTCGGATGTGCGTTTTATAAAGTAAATCTTCCTCGCTTCAGCATCTGAATGCTTAAAAACCTGAGACTGTGAAACTATCTCGTGTTGCTGAAGGGTTGTTCGATATTGGCACGGCTGCCGGATTTAGGTAGACAGCCGGCTCCCATTTGATGTTGTTATCGGATGTTTTTTGGGCATTAATACGTTGGCCTATAAGACTGGGAGTGATAGGGTTGGATCACTAGAGGGACTGGTGTATACTGTGAGGGAGAGGTGGGTAAAGCTTTAGCTCAAGATGTTCCAGACTGGTGGACTGGAATCCCATGTGAGCTTGACTTTTATACTTCCCTTTACAAAAGCTCTTCTTAATAAGTTAGAATCACTGAATCAAACAGTGAGGGGTTGGTGAGGAACCGGCTCCCATTTGATGTTGTTATCGGATGTTTTTTGGGCATTAATACGTTGGCCTATAATACTGGGAGGGATAGGGTTGGATCACTAGAGGGACTGGTGTGGACTGCGAGGGAGAGGTGGGTAAAGCTTTAGCTCAAGATGTTCCAGACTGGTGAACTGGAATCCCATGCCAGCTTGACTTTTATACTTCCCTTTGTGAAAGCTCCTCTAAATAAGTTAGAATCATTGAATCAAACAGTGAGGGGTTGGTGAGGAAGGTACCATGCCAACACTCGAAGAGATCTTCTTCTTTGCTCACCAGAAGTTGGATAAGT